GTGTGTGTGTGTGTGTGTGTGTGTGTGTGTGTGTGTCTACTAATCTGCATCTGATTAGGACATCCCTGGGGACAGGGACTGGTCCTTTTCTCTCTGTCTCTTTCCCCCACTTCCCCCAAGCCCACCCTTACCCCCAGGGCTTAGCATACCACCTGCCTGTCTGATCTTAAAGATATACACAGACAAGCAAGTGCTCTCATGTCTGCAGGCTGCCAACTACCCTGCCTACCAGAGGTTTTTGAACTTTACACCTTTACTGACGGCCTGTTCTTCTGGCACAATGAAGATATTTCTCCATCTATAGCTGGAGCCCCTTTAGAGCCAGAACTATTCTAATACTGAAGAGCTTCCTCCTGTCCCCCAGCAAGACAAAGATCAATGGCTTTTAAACCACGGCAAACTTAGGACAAAATTTAGATCAAAACAAATCCCAAACAACTTGTGTAACACACTTTGAAATTTTTTAACATGTGACAGTGGCAAGACAGTGACATACATCCTGATCCTTTGTTTGGTTCCTGGGGAGATTTCTGGATCAAGGCCCTTGCTTGGATGACCCTATCCCCTGATCCCTCGGGCAGGAAGCAAGGGCCCCAGTGCCCATGGGGCAGGCTATATGCAACTCCAGCGGCCCCCAGACTCACCAGCAGAGGCCAAGCGTGCACATACACCAAGCCCTTCTGTTTCAAGCACAGCGTGGGGCTGGGCGGTCTCCTCATCCTCCTAAAATCCCTGTTTCCTTCTGACTCTCCATTTGCTCCCACAGGGTCAGAGTGAGGTTTTCTCTCCACTGTGCATGCATTTCTGGCTCCTCTGGTCTTCCTGGGAGCCGCAAATATAAAAGCTGAGACATACCATGCAAGGTGGGGAATGGGTGGGGAGGGGTCTTCTTTCCGAGAAGAGACAAGCAGGAAGCTGAGAATGAGAATGAAATGCCCCATGCTTGCAGGGGATGGCCAGGCCAGATCCCCTCTCACCTGTACTGGTCATAAAGGTGATGATGGTACTGCTGATGCCCTCGTTGTCCCGGGAATAAACTCGCAACGTGTATGTCATCCCGGGATAGAGGTCTGTCAGCTGTATAGGCTGGGCCTGAGCCTTAACAGGGACAGTTTTTTTCGTATGGTTGCCTGGGGAACAGAAACCTTAGTCAGCCTAGGGCCAGGCACAAGGAACTGCAAAGGCAATGCTTAGGTTCCTGCCATCTGTCAAAGGTCAAAGCATGGGGAAAGGGGCCAGGCCATCACACAGAGCAGGGGGTCACCAGACAGCTCCATCACCGGCCCTTCCACGTAATCTGACTCTTACATGATGGCCCTTCAGCTGAGGACACCGTTTCCTCTCCTTGCCACAGTCTTAGCAAGAAACATATTATGACCTACTTCCTTAAACTCTCAGGGTGTCAGCTAAATGCTGTTATGCTGAAGAGGGTCTGAGGGCCAGTTAGCATCCCTCATGATAACTGGAGGTGAGATGGAACCCTGCTTCTCATCTCTCACTGTGTGGAAAATTCGCATATCAGAAGAAGTGAGTGCCTGAGTGTCTGCAGGTGTAGGGTGAGCGGTGGTGGTGGGAAGCCGAAAGTGTACAGACCAAACTCGGGATTCCGGATTCCGTGGACGTGAATCCCCTCCGACCACAGAGAACTAAAGGAGTGTCTTTGTTCTTTCCTTGGAGATCTTTGGGTGGCCAGCCCAGCCGGGTTAGTTGGCTTACTTTCTTACAGCACATGCCAAAGACGCCTACATGCTGGGCCTGACCCCTCAGGAACAGAGGCCTTCACTGAGAGGAGGCAGATATCCTGACCATACTCTACAGCTTAACAGATCTGTACCTGTGGTCTCAAGATCCAGCAAAGTGTGAACAGCCCAGTTCAAGCCACCAGCTCTCTGAGACAAATGACTCTGGTCTGTGTCTCTGTCTGTGGCCACTGGTGTGCCTCGTGAGCAAAAGACCAGCTGTACCCCAAGTCTTAACCGGTCCCACCTGTCTAGTGGAGACATCAGAAAACATGGATTCTGGGTTAAGGAGATCCACGCAGAGGTGAGATCTGTCTCACCTGGGGGCTATTCGGAACCCTCATCCTGGGCAGGAAGTAGGCGGAGGGCCCCCTTACCCAGGCCCTCCCAGCACATACAACCCTGGACCTCACTAACGGCTGCAGAAGCCCCTTCCTTCTCCTTGAGCCTTTTCCTGCTCCTCACTGCCATCTGAGCGCATATTGATTTCATTAAGTCGTAATTAAGCCAGGCTAAAAGGCCTCTCTGAGCCTGGGGAAGCTCACAGGATCTCTTTAATGGCATCCACGCTACCCGCCGCCGCTGCCGCCACCACCACCCCGCACAGCAATGCTTACTGTCAATGTACTCAACCACAAAGTCAGTTCCGGGCCCGAAATTGTGCTTCCAGGTGACGTTGGCCCATTTACTGTTGGGGAGCACCGTGACATTCCATATGGACTGCTCGTCGGGGGCTGGTGGGCAGGTTAGAAGAGGAGTTAGTGGTGAGGAGGGAGGCAGCACTGGAGACAGACAGACAGACAAACACACATGGGCGGCCAGGAAAGGGTAGAGTCAGAAGTGGCTGTGCACAGGGCCCGACAGAATCCAAGCTGCAGCCTTGGTGGCCAGGCTAGAGGTCCCCATCCAGGTACGAGCAGGTGCAGTCCCGAGGACCCATACGTAAGGGAGGGCAGGAAACTGTCCACACAGGTAGGGTGGGAATGAAAGAGTGAGTTTTGAGCCATACCATTGGAGGCTCTAACCTAGGCTCACTCCTGTTTTAGATCCATCATGGATGTGACGGTGCTGTGAAAAGGGCCAGGCAAAAGCCCCGTGGGTTCAAGTGCAGAGGGGGAGGGGTGTGCCTCTTTCTCTCCAACTACAGATGTCCTGCAGGAAGGACAGAGGGTATCTTTCAAAGCCATTTGAAAGTCATGATGAGATTTGCAGGAAGGACAGCACCAAACATGGGAAAGCCTTTACAGGCTCCTGAAACTGGGGGAGAATGGTAACCAGACAGGTGACTCTGGCCTGAGGAGCCCCTGGGGTCATTCTTGGTCACTAAAGTCCTGGGTTATGTGGAAAATGGCCTCAGGTTGTCTAAGGGGACTTGAGGCCTAGAGCCCCAGGATCCCAAGGAGAGACAGGATGAACTCTTCCTCTCCCTCTCCTGGGCTGAGTGGGACCAAGATAACTCCTTCTAGACACCAGAAGAATCTTGTTTTGTTGGCTTCTTAGCACTATACTGTTGGAGGCTTGATCTCCGCGCAACACAGAAGACACTAATCATCTAGTTTCTATGATCTGAGAGCTACTTAATCAAAGCTACCATGCTGTCTGAAACCATAGCCTGTGGACAGAAGAATGACGCCAATCTTCAAACGTAATCCTTTTTCAGGAGTCCCAGCAGTCTGATACCCCATTTTCCAGCAAAGATTTCATAGCGGAGTACTAGCATGAGGCCTTGTATTTCAAAGACTTTACAAGTGTGGCTTCTGTATATTTTATTAGCATGCAAGGGGGCACTGTCACCAACTCACTTGTCAAAAATAAATGGGAGTATACTGGGGATGCAAGTATTCATTATCTGTTTGACATGTGACTGAGTCCGCAGGGCTGGGGAAGTGATTAAAGATCTGGTCCTCACTTCAAAGGATTGCCTTCTCTACTACAACCTCGTCAGTTTCCAGTTGCCCCAGGTGAGTATGACTTCTGTTAGGTAAGACACCAAGAAAGAGATCCCATTGATGGCACCATAGGGCATTCCTCCATGGGGGAGGGCAGAAAGTGGGCTTCACTTTATCTGCCAGATGTTTCCATTGTACTGGCTGCTTTTGACCACCCCACTGCCAGCTCTGTGGACTCTCATGGCTCTTGCTAGTGGGAATGAATTATGATTAGTCATGATTAGGGGACTTGAGTTTCCTCCTCTTCAGCTCTGGGCCCTGGAAATAGCCAGAGAATTTGGGTGTAAGCAATGTGGCGACCAATACAATATTGACCCAAATTTCACTGTCTTAAAGGTCAATGAGATTGGGGTACCATCATAAAAGGTCAAGTGATGGGAAACCAAAAGGATTTAAAGGTGGGAGTTGGAGGAAGGCATTGCCATATAGAGAGACCAAGATGACGACCACTGAAGCACTTAAAAGTTCCAAGAGAAGGACCGAGGAGGAGAGCTATCGAGTGCTATCACAACAAAAAGCGTAAGTGAAGTGGGGTGAGGATTGTCCTGCTGACTCCTAGAATGGGAGAATTAGGGAGACTCCCTTGAAATCTGAAAAAAACAAGACAAATAAAAGGTCCCATTTTACCTCAAAAAAAAAAAAAAGGAAACAGGAAACATATTGTTCTAAGATGAAAGACATGATAAAGATGAAAATTCATTTAAAAAGTCCTGAACATCAGAGCCATTCTGCTGCATTAAGGGAAGTGAGGATGTTTGAGGGGTGTCCCCAAGCTTTAAAGATAAGATCAGAGGCATGGCCAGGCCCTCCGCAGTGTCCCAGGCAGTTAGAAGTTGGGAGTGTTAGTCCATGGGGCTACTAGCCCACGTGGCAGCAAGGCCAATCCTTCCAGAGGGCAAGTCACTGCTGGGGAGCAAAGTCCACTCCCCTTCTTCAGTGTTTGTGCATCTTTTCCGTAAACGCAAAGCTTTCAAGTGGGGACACGAAGCCCGCTTTAATGCAAAAGATGTCTTACTGTGCGGTCCCAAAGAATACCCATCACCGAATGCGGGCGGGGTTTCTTCTCAGCCAACTTTTCCCTAATGTATATGCTGTTTAAGTTCTAGCTATCGCACCTTTAAAGCAAATCAGTGTTTTCAAGGTCTAAGGAGCATAAGGTCAGCTACGTACCCCTTGTCTCCCCTTATAGCTCACATCACACCATGTAACTGAATTAAAGGAAACACAGGTGGATCAGGCCTCCATCCTCCTTCAGGTGCTGAGAGAAGTGGGCAGGGTAGGAGACAGTGAGGCCTAGGAAGGTGAAGGGGCCGATAATTCTAGAGCTGCTGGAAGAGGGTTCTGGGTGCTCCCTGCCAGCCCTCGGGCATCATGCTGACTTTACAGCTGGCCTGTGGGCTCCACAAGCTGGAGGTCCTCCCCTCCATGGTAATAAGCGTGTTTGATGCTCGGCTCTTAGAAATATTGCTGTCTTCCCAAGGGGTCTCCTAATGCTGGAAAAACAGAGCTGCCTGGTCTGGCTGTGTGTAGGAACAGCGTATGTCCAGGCTCAGCAGGCCAGCTCTGGGATTGATTCTTACCAGGGGCCTCTAGAAAGGCTGCGATTTTCCCTCCATGTGTGCATCTGAGGGCGTGGGGAGTGTGACTGGGAAGAACAGGGCACTTTCGGCCATTATGGGACTCTGGAAATACTGTTTCCTGGAAACTGACTTTTTGAAAGTCTGTTTAAGTGTGACTTGCAGGGGGAGGGCGAGGAGCAGGGTTCTGGGAACAGAGCTGCTTGGCGTGGCCAGCCACACTGCATGCCTCAGCCCCGTGTGTTGCAACGCTGGATGCGACAAGGCTGGGGCAGGGAGCCTTCTCACGACAGTTGTCTGGCATCGGGCCCCTTGCCTTCCCCACACTATCCCCCTCCAGGATGCTCAATCCCGAGCTGACAGCTTGGGGAGCTGGAGGTAGCCCTACCATGCGGGGGGTCCTGCCTGAGGAGCGTGGCCCTCTGATAAAGGACAGGAATCTAAGGCTAGGACAAGCTGGATGGCGTAGCGGAGAACCATCCAAGGAGTGAGGTTGGGGGTACTCTGTGCCGCTAGGCTACCAGACTGAGAATCCAGTCCTGTGTGTTTCCAAAGTAGAAACACAGGGAGGTGGTGATCACCACCATCCCAGGCCCCTCCTGTCTGGGGAAGCCTGCTGGTGGAGGGACGGGGAGCATGGACAGTGGGCAGTACCAGATTCGTGTGTCTTAGTCCCGGTGGTGGGAGGACTCTCCACGGTGGTGGTGGTGGCGACAGTGGTTCTAGTAGTTGTGGCGACGGTGGTGGTGGCGATGGTGGTAGGTGCGACAGTTGGGATGATGGGGGCTGTTGTGGCTTCAGTGGTGGCAGCAGGGGCAGTAGCATCAGTGCTGCTCACAGTGCCCGTCGCACCCACCGTAGTCGGGGGCAACGTGGGAGGAGCTGAGAGGGAAATGTAAAACAGCCGAGTCTGGTTGGTTTGGCTGTCCCCAGCCTGGACACCCGGCCCCGCGTGCAAGACAGGCAGCCTGGTGACAAGATGGAGCTTAGTAATCAGCAGCCTCCCCAAGCATGATGGACTGGCTTGGACGGATCACAGTGAAAGGACACAACCATGGGACAGGAAGAGAATGAAGCCCTGTGTGTGTTTCATTTTCTTCTCATGGTCTGTGTGGCTCAAAGCATCCAGCATGCACCCAGCCAAGGAAGGGCAAGGATGAGAATGGGAAGCGACATGAACCGAACTGCTTGGACCCCAGGGATGACGACATGGGGTCCCGGGCCAAGTGCCACCCAGACACAAGTCAAGCAGCGCCACTTGGGTCCAGCCCTGGAGCCCCACCTGGGAGGTGGACAGGCGGCTGTGTCCCATCTTACGGGAAGTCTGCCATTCCCAACCATTCACCCTCCAATTACCCTTTCTCATGTCCGCTTGAGTTCTAACGCTGCCCAAACCCAAGGACAGAAAGAGAGCAATCTTTGTTGGGGAGCCTGCAACATGATTTTCCTGTCCCACCGCCACTGCTGACCACGTCCCCGTCCCCCGCCTCTCAGCTCTTGTTCACTCCTCTGCCTCTTCTCCTTTCTTTTCAGCTCAGTGATGGTCCTTCCTGCAATTGCCCCCAATCCACCCTGGATTGCAGTAACTGTCTTTCTCTGTAGGACATTTGGGGTCCAGGCACCCCAAGTCCTTCTCCTTAGGCACTAATGGAATCACAGCGTGGCCTATACCTCTACCCAGCCCACAGCAGACGTAGGAACCCCAGGACCAGAGTGAAGTACATGCTGGGCTTCTTTTGTTTGCATAAATCTTCAGAGGGGTTCAAATCTGTGCTAACTCTCACATCATCTTTCATCCAAAGCTAGCCTTCCACGTAGGTCAGCCCTTAGGGCTAAGTCTATGTGTGTGATGATGTTTCCATAAGCTCTCTTTCCTTCTATGAAGGGTCATGGAAGCCAACAAAGGGATGCCCTATTACTCTTTAGTTCCAATGCTCCTAAAGCTTGAGGGTATAGAAGAATGATAGGGCAAATCAGAGAGACAGAGCTGCCTCTCCTCCTTGCGCTATATCTCCTGTGATCTGATCACCTTCTACTTGCTAGTGTTAATGCTAATGGGGCAGTAGGTAGGGATGTTAAGGTATTAAGTAGATAACTCTAACTCCAAGGAATAGCGATGTCCTACCTTATCTCAAATCTCCAGAAGTTCAGGAAAAAAATATCCCCACCCACCAGAAGGAGGCCAGGGCAGGGAGGGAGCCAGAGAGAAAATTGCCAGAGAGCTTTTCTAAGGGGAGAATGAAGAGATCCTAAGCCTTCTCAATAAGCGCCAGACCAACAAAAACCCTTTCATTCTCCCCTGCCTCCAATATTACAAGTCCCCCACAGAGGAGGGACTGTTCCTGGGATCCCTGCTGCTTCTCTATTTGTAAGATCAGAGGCATTATTGGGCCCTGAGGGTGCTGACCACAGAAGTCATACAGGGCAGCTGACTCTGCCCCACACATTCCAGAGATTCCTGGGCGAGGTCAAAGCAGACAGCACTACATTCCCCAAGCCCCAGTCAACTCACAGACATCAGGAAGATGTGGGGGTATATGTGGTAGGGACAATCTCACTCTCATAGTCATTATTTCACAGATGTGTTCAGTCCAAGGTGGCCCCAGGGCTGGAAGGCTCAGGGCTACAAAAGCTCAGCATAGGGAATTCATCTATCCCACCTACTAAGACACACAGACAGACACACACATGGAAAACCTTGAGAGACCCACCAGACAAAGGTCAGCTCTCTTCCCAGGCCATGACCCCGGCAGCTCCTGTGGCCATGGACCCACCCGTTCCATGGACACACAACTCTTCTGTGCTGCTGGAAGGAACCTTGAGAGGCTATTTTGTCCAGCTGGGCCAAGACTGCTCGAATTTGTTTCCTTATCAATAAAGAATTTTCTAATTATGTCTGACAAATGCAGTGTTCACAGGGTCTCCCTTTGCTATAATTATTTAAAAGGTGTCATAAAAAAAACTTTAAAAACCCTCTCTTTTAACTTAAATCATCTCACTCTGAGTAGCGCAGACCTGGGCTTCCCTTCCTACACATACTAGTGAGGTTACATTTCCCAAGCCCCCTGAGTCAATGTCAACTTTCCCCAAAGCTATCCATTCTCACGTGCCCTTTGGTTCTTGTACAAGCAGAGACACACATGCACACACTCATAGGCAGGCTTGCACTGTGTCTCTGCGTGTCCCAGCGAGCAGCAGCCTTTGACACCGAGATGCTGGGTTAGAGCAAGTTCTTCCCGGGCCTGCTGGTCAGACAAGAAGGACAAATAACTTGAAGATGCTTCCACACAGTCTTGTCCCCTCCCTCTGATGGTCCCTTCTGCCGCGAGACTGGAAGGAAGCGATTCTCTCTGATGCTGGCGACCTAGGTGCTTTTCCCAGGTGCTTGGGTCCAACAGTGTTAGGGTATTAGTGGGAAGGGACTAAGAGGGAAGTGACAGCAAAGAAACTGCTTGCTTCCCAGGCATCACTGGAGTCACCTTGGAAGATGCAGCCTTAGCTGGCGGAGGTCCCAGCTGGCAAATCATCATCCTCTCTGAACACTCAGTAACTGTGTCTCATGTCCCATGGCTGTACAGGGCCGGAGACACAGGGGGCGCAGAGGCTCCAAGGGAAGGCACACAAGGGTCAGTCAGATGAGTGTCTTGTTAGAGGTGCGTATAGGGAGGAGGGGAAAGTGCCCAGTGCTCAGGTTGAAGGGGGTTCAGGTGATTTCATGCCCTGGGGCAGGGTTGGGGTGTAAGTAGGGCCTATAGACAGAGTGGCCCCCAGGCTGGGCAGGCTGTGCTAGGATATCACCCCCAGCCACAGCAGGAACCAAAGGGCCGGAGAGCCACTGCAGGAAGCGACTACCTAATGAGCAGCCTAACACACACTGGAGGGCACCCTGGCCAGGCCAATGGTTTTCCACCAGTTTCAGGAACACCACAGAAGAGATGGAGAAAACTGCGAAGAGCAGACACACACGCATCTTAGTCATCTTTCTGAGCCCAGAACCTGCCACGGAGCTGCCTACCGAACACTCACAGATCTGAGCTGAGTCAAAGATGAGGACAGCAGTTTCCAGACATTTCCAGGTGGAAGGTTCAGTCCAAAAACGCCCACATGGTGCACGGACCACCCTGGCCAAATCACAGATGGCCAGGGCAGATGGGCAGCAGTCCTAAGAGACAGCACGTATGGGTGCACAACAGGGATCATTTTCACCAGGTGACATACAAACAGATCGGTTTGGGGAAGAAACATCCAGGTTTGGGGAGGATGAGAGGGAAGGAAGTAGTGGGCCAGATGCCAGGCCCACAGCACACACGGAGAACCTGGGCTCCATCGCCCGCCACCTGCAGGTTGTACAGGAGGCTCTCAGGCATTTAAATCCGAGAACAGCTGATGTTCTCAGCACATCTCATGACGAAGAAGTGCCGTGTGACTCTACCACCACATCCCGTGGAAGCTGGAGCCTAGGCAACACATGTGACTGAGGGACAGAGCCCCTGCACTCACTCTGCATACTCTGATGAGCTTGGATCTTTTCTAGACAGGAAGTACGAAGTGGGGTGTTTCGAATTACACGCATCTCCCTGGCAACTGCCACTCAAGAGAGGGGCGGCATAGACTGGCAGGGATGCCCACTGAGCAAGGCAGCCTGGGAGCTGCTTGGCCAGTGAGTTTCTAGCTGATTCTGCTTGTGCCCTCCTTGTGTCTTCTCCCCATCTATCTTCACTAAGCCTGCTCAGGCTACTATTAGCACCTTCTGTACCAGTCCCAGAAGACCCCTCTTCAAACTTGAATCAGGGAGTCAGGGCAATAACTCCCAGAGTGCAAGGATGGCTGTCTTCCCAGTCCCCGGGCCCAGGACATCTATCTCATCTACCTCAGCTGAGGTGTTTGGGTCCTGCGGGGAGGTACTGGGTCCCACCAGCTTGGGTTACTGGGGGGCGGGGGGTGGAGACAGCTAGGGCAGAGGAGGAGAATGGCAGCATACCATCCACGGATTTGGCTGACAAAACAAATACAAGCTGATGGAAGCAGAGTGTGCAACAGAAATGTAATCAACCTAAAATGGGGTAGGGGGTAAATGAGTGAAGGTGGGCCAGAAATCATATCAGGCAAGGTGGCATCCTCTTCATAAGCCAACCCTCAGATTCCTCTCCTAGTTCTCGGTTCTCCCCCACTGCCTAGAGCCTAAGAAGGCTCTGGGGACCCTGTCCCCATAACCTTTGCTCTGTCAAGGAAAGGAAAGGAACCCCGGGGACCCCTGCCTAGTTTCTCTGGCTTGAGGACAGGCCTTCTGTGGTCAAGTGCCCTTTGATGTTCCTCCAGTGCACAAATGAGGACTCGAGAGGAGGAACTTGGTTAGCAGCTTGTCTTCTAAGCTGAGCCCTGCCTGCCCAACTCTTCACTTCTGTGTATCAGCCCCCGCCAGGCCCCGAGAGTGGAAACTGTTTTTAACGCTCAAGACTGAGAATCTGGGTCTCTAAAGGGTGAAGGGACAGTCAGCCCATGGCACCCACCGAGACTCCAGGTCCTGGAACACCTGACCCTACCCAAGGACATGCTCACGCGTTCTCACTGACCAGAACACATGGTGGACGGCAGAGCTGGTGCCGGGCCCCATGCAGCATGCAAGGCCAGCATGCAGAGCGTGCTCACCCACAGGTCGCCCTTTCAGGGGATGGCAGCCTGACCAGGAGACAGGAGCCAGCTGTGCCCGTCGTGGTCCAGCATTCTTTCTCGGGGCCCAGCTGGTCACCCAAAGGCTCTGCACCCTGTCTCTGTGCTCTAAGGTGGTTCAAGGAAGTAATCACTCAGCTTCAGAAAAAGTTGCAGCTCCAGAGACCAGGCTTGGAGCCCATGTGTGTGGGGACCCTTCAAAGCCATCCTCCTTCTCAGCTGGCGGCAAATAATAAGTGGAGGGAGGAGACTGTGATTCTGGCCCCATCCTCTGCACACATCCTCCTTGACAGTCTGGGTTCCCAACCACTGAAAGGGGAGTCTGGAGCATGCTTTCATCCCGAGCCTGTCCCTCCTCCTTGGCTTTGGCTGGGCTCCACCTGCATCATCCCATGCCATGCCCGTTACCTCTGCTGCTGGTACGGTACCTGCGGTTGGAGTGGCTTCAGAACACAGCACCCAAGATGGCCAGAGAGAGGGAGAAAGGGTGAGAGAGGGAAGAGAAAACAGAACACAGGTGAAACCACAGGGCAAGTAAGCAGAGAAGGTTCTGGCTCAAACCTGACCCAGACGGTATGGCCAGGTGCAGGCCACAGCCCTGAGGATGCCAGCTGGTGTTTGGGATTCATGTTCAACTCCACTGGGGTTTGATTTGTTCCGACAGAAAACTTGCCACTTGGGTCTTGGAGGCCTTTCAAACACCCTGATTCTACCTCTACTGAAGGCCTATCGTCCAAGAGGTGGCAGCAGACAGACCACCTAGCGTGCTGTTCCTAGGTCTTTCCTCCTGGCTGGGCTGACCTTTATGAAGCAGGCTGGGTGGCCCTCCGTGATGCCAGGAATTGAGGGCATAAGGTGTAGGTGGTGTGGGAGGTGACCAACCTGTCAAAAGAATGGTTCCTGTATCTTTGGGGGAAGATGTTGGATAGCGTTGCGGTGGATGAGAGATGAGAACGTATTTGGCTAAACCCTGCCCACGCGCTGCCAGCCTTGGAAGACCTGGGGGCTGTGACAGACTGGAGCCCTGAGCCTTTGTCCTGTTCTGCTGCCCCAGTTCTTTCCCACCAGTTGTATTTTATGAAATAAGAAACCCAACTGTGGCCTGAGCCCTAAAGGAATTCCTGAATTTGCTGCAAATCCCTAAGCTGAGAAGCAAGTCTCTGTGCTCTTGTGGCCTAGGGCTACAGAACTTCCCCTGTGGTGGTCACTGGGGCTGGACAATGGGGCTTTGTTTATCTGATGTTCTATACTGGGGTGGGAAAAGAGGTTCTCTTTATATATCCTTATACAGATAAGAAATCAAGAAAGTGCACCATCCCCAGTCTAGGAGGCCCTTGATAATAGGCATATGTCAGGCAAGTACCCAAAGTCCCCCAACCCTAATAAACTAGGGTTGGATGGGCAAACTAGGGGGAGAGCTTATTGTGTGATTCGCAGGACCAGAGAGGGCTGCAGAAAGGACTGTCAGCCTTTCTCCAGTTTCTGCCAGGCCCCTCTTGTACTTCTGTTTCTGCCAGCACCCCTTGCCTCAGTGCTGGCCTGCTGGCTAAGGAGGTAGGGGCTGGAGAGGGATGCAGGGCTGCTTATGAAGCTGAACTGGGAGCTTGGGGGTAAGGCAGCAGAGGCAGCAGGGCCCGGCAGGGAGCACTGATGCTGCCTGCGTTGGGGTAAGGGTGCTCAGGAGGTCTGATCCAGGGCAGGCTCAGGCCACTGACCTCAGCCTTCTGGGGAAAGCACTCGACACAGTAAACCTGTGTCGTAAAGGGTCCCTCCTTACATCACCTTTACTTTGAGGACTTCCCTCGCAGAATCAGTCCCCTCCTCTGCACAACCACTGCACCTTCCTCAGCTAAACATTCTTCCTTTACTTAAATTGCAATTAGATATTCTTGTGGACGTCTCCCTTTCTGGACTGTGTGAGCTTGTTACCTATGTATCCCTTGGTTTTTGGAAGTGTCTGGCACCTCACATTGTGGGTACTCAAGAAATGGCTGTTGAATAGACCACTGTACCTCTGGAGAGGCAGCAGGGTCTCTCCTCTTTCATAGGGGAGCTGTCCATACCAAGGCTTCTATAGTCTTGAGCCCCTGAGGTTTCTGGAAGCCGGCATGCAGGTGGGCCCAGAGCCCCCTCTAGTGGCGTTCTCATGAAGGTGCAGCTGCTGTGGGGAGGGCTACGCTGCTGGAAGACGCCAGGACCCGGAAAACGAATCCATTTGCTCTTTGTGAAGCTGGTTTGGCAAATGGCGGTTTCCCAACTCCCCTTCCTCTCCACAACCTGACAACTCATCTAATTCAGGCTGCAAGGAGGGACTACATCAATTCATGATCCGGGCAAGTAGCTTCAATTAAGGCTGTTTCCCCACCCTCTTTGGCCCCATGTGCCCTTGGAAAAAGAAGGGATGTCCCCAGAGCCCGCATGGGGCACTTTCAATATTCCTGCCTCCCTCAGTCGGTGAGCACTTTCACTATTCTTTGGAGTTCATTAGCATATTTACTTATAACACACTTTTCCCCATCTTCTCATCACCGCTCTGGACTCACGCTCTCTTCCTTATCCCCCACCAGAAGGAAAGATGACAGATGTTAAGTAGCTGAGCAAGTCAAGTCCAAGTCAGACCCAGGTCTGATGGCAACCGTCTAAGGAGACCTGAGTTTTCCTGATTCATGGCCAGCACCTACCTGTCAGCATGCAAGAAGGGGGTCTCTGCTTGGAGGGCGGGAGGAGCCCCATTTCCTCTCCATGCCAGCAGGCTGGGCAGCCAGAGGCCAGGTCAGTGTTTCCCTGGACATCTGAATTAGCGGGGACCTGTCACCCCTGAGGCTGCTGCAATGCACCTACCTTCATTCGGGGGTGCTGGCGACTCCTCCGTGACAGCTTCGCCAGCGCCCACCTGCGTCCTGGCACTCAGGGTGAAGCGGTAGCGCGACACGGGGTCTGCTCTTTGCACCGTGAACTTGGTCTGATTGGGAGAGAAGTTCTCCACCATCTGCTTTCCTACTTTGGTTCCATTAACTGGGGAGAGATAGGTAAGTGGAAATGAATGTTAGCAACGTTGACCATGGTGGGTTATAGAATCTGCAGCTGGAGCGGGGACGCCTTCCTGACTCTGCTGAAAAGGGATGCAGCAGAACCTGTCCCGTGTGCTTGAAGACTTGGGGGATGGGAGACTTGGCTTAAAGATGGAGTGAGGGGCAAGAACTTTCAGGCTCTCTGATGCTACACCAGGGTTCATGCTTTTTCACTGGTTTTGTGATCTCTAGCTCGCTGCAACGTTATGAGGCTAATTTGGAAAGACTCAGTTTATAATCCCTAAGCCTTTTCAATAAGGACAAAACTTTTGAGTTCCTTTCTTCCTTTCAAACAGAACTAGGGCAAACCCACTAGTGTTTGATGGCTAATGTCTCCTTTGTAAAAGGCCTATTCAGTGTACTTCAAAGGGGGAAGGTCAGCTCCAGAAACCAATCTGGAATAGCACACAAGCACACAGTTGGTATTAAAATCGTTAACACTAACACCAGGCCCTTTGAGCTTCCCAGTGAGGTACATCACCACCTACTTTAGAAGGCGTAACATTTCTCTAATGTGATGACATTCCTGTCCCGACAAAGCAGAACTCCTCAGGTGAGGTCTTCCTGACCCAGGCTCCCGTGGGTCACTCCAAGTTCTCGGCAGCTCTACATACAGCGAGCTGCCTTACCATAAATGACGCCTTGTTAAGGTGTCCCCAAGTGTTGTGTGGATTCCTGTGCAGGTGCTGTCTACCTCATCCAATGAATGTTCCATCAGGTAAGGAACTCTCTCTCCTAGACCGGTAGGTGTTGGAGACTATAAGAACCCTGAGCGCGGGTGCTAACTCCCTCTTTGGGCCAGAAATTCCCTTTGTCTCACCAGAAGCTCCCTGCAGGAGGAGCTGTCAGGAAAGCAAGGACTGGGTCTCATGTGTACCCCCTAATCCTGGCCCCTCCATCCCTCCACAATGCCCTCTGCACCACAGGCTTTCTACCTTGGTTCCTTAGGATAAGTGGTGAGAATGGGGTTTCTGCTTCCCAGATTATCTAAGAGAAAGCAGGGCAGAACGTACAGGCCACGTATCTGAGAGAATATCCAATCAGGATCCCATTGGGGTGTTCCGGATGGTCCCATTCCAGGTTGATTATCTCCAGGTTGGGCTGCCGGACTCGGAAACGCCTGGGGGCACTGGGTACTTGGGGAAGGAGGAGAGAGTGGGGAGATGACGGGGAGAGGGAGTGGGCAGGATGAGGAAAACACAAAAAACAAAGCACAAGTATGAAGGCATTGACCTTGGGCAACCCCCACGCTGGACTGCTGCTAAGCCAGAGCCCATTCATTCGTCCATCTTGGATGGTGTTTCCCCTGGTTAAGGATAAACATGGCTCAGCCTGTTTAAATGGAAGAAGTAAATCAAGTGTTCCTTTAGCAACTACCCTGGATTCGGCACATGTTAAGCTCTGATCCTGCAAAGACACCTCAAGGGGAACAGAGCCAGTCCCAGGGAGGGAACCAACGACTGTTTCCTACAGAGGCTGCAGCTCCAGATCCTCAGACGAGGATTCTCACCACCAGGTCCAGGCAGCAGGCCCAGGCCTCCAAGCTGAGGATGCTGGGTTCAGGGGGAGCAGAAAGAAAGCCAAGATGACGCACGTGCACCGGGCATGAGCAGTGAGGGCGGTGGGGAGAGGCTGATGGTGAAAACCAAAACAAAGGGGAGGGAAAGACAGGAATAAAGAAAACAGGAGGGAAGAACAGAGGAGAGGAGAGAGGAGGAAGAAGAAAAATGGGGAAAATAACAGTTAAGAAGGGAGGGAGGAGAAACACAAGTGGGCGAAGCAAGTGCCAAGCTGATAAGAGATGAGCTGGTACTTTGCAGGTGTCTGCCTCCCAGGACCAGGGCAACTGTGAACCTGCAGAAGGCAGGTGCCCCTCTGCAGCGCCCCTGTACCCACGGCCGACCATCTCAGCGAAAGCTTCTTGACTGCACTGGTGAGAGAGCTCTGTAGGTCCTTGCTGCTGGTAAACAGACCAGTTTCCTTTAGGCGGTCAAGGTGCTTCAGCCTCAGGAGGTGGCGGGCAGCCCAGGCTCCCGCTGTGCCCTGGGGGTCAGTCTGCGAAGCCCATCTGGAATAATGCCATCAGACCACACAGGTCTTCTATTGAGGTACAGTCTCCTGTCAGGCCAGGCCACCTAGGTGACGGAGTGCTCTGTGGGAATGGTGGGAGCTGCTTAGCTCATAGGTCATCAACTCGAGGTCATGCAGAGGTCAACTTGTGCTGTCTGTGCGGAGCCACACTGGAGCTGCTCCAGGCCCACCTGGATGTCTACCCTTGTCCTGCCCGCCCCCGGAAGAGCTGCAGGTCACACCTACCTCCTTCTGGGGTGGTGAACTCCTTGGTTTCACTGCGAGGCCCATCGCCTCTCCCATTGACCACAACCATGTCCAGTTTGTAGTTACTGTAGGGAAAGAGGCGGGACACCACGCCCCGGAGGCGGTCACCAGGGAAGCTGGCTTGCTGTCTCTTCTGAGACACCCACAGGCTCTTCAGTAAACTGCTCTCCCTCCAGTAGTAGGCCTTCGGGACAGAGGCAGGCCGGTGAGGGCACGCTCAGGCACAGCCAGGTTAGTTGTTAGTGGTGGTGGTAGTGACCGGTCTTCCCTTTGCTTGCCACATGCTCCAAATCCCAAATGGACGCATCGGTCCCACATAGGGCTGGGGGCGTGGCCTTATAGTCCCCGTTCATCAGCCACTAGTGAGTATGAACTGAAGTCCAACAAGCAATAGGGTTTTAGACTTCAATCATTTTCTGAGCCATGTCACCTCTCTGGAGAACAGGCAAGTTGGCCCGACTTACAGCTGAGCTGCTCCTTCATGAACCTTATTTCCATGCTGCGGAACAGGTAGCTCAGGGAGCCCGTGCCAAAACCACAAACATGAGGCACGGGTCCAGGGCTCAGAGACCACATCCCCTTGAGTTAGATTAGTATGGTTTAAGACTGGCAGCAGACAGTTGAAAAGTAGTGGGTTACCCCCAGAAGTCTGAATATGAGAAAGGGTTGATATAATCCTTTGAAGTCAAATGGTTTCTTTTAATATTGTTTGAAGACCTTTAGAATGGGACAGACACATGTCCAAGTCAGTGCGATGCCAGGCTGCCTGGTGGCAAGAGCTTGGATGAGCGTGGCTGGCCTATGGAAGGCGGTAGTGTCACAGGTACAGTTGAGAGAGTTTGTGACACAAGGTCTGATTAGCAGTGGTTAAGAGGCCCCAGGTCAGGCTGCCACCAGCATCACCCAGGCCTCCAATGACAAGGTAAGGAGGAAGTCCAGACTTAAGAGGAGGACCCAATGGGACCTTTTAGCCAGAAAAATCTCCAGGCAAGTAGGTTAAGGGTGCAAGCCGTGTTAGGGAAGAGCTCATTCAAGTGTACACTTCCTCTTGCATGCCTCCCCCACTTACCAAATTCATTTTCCAAGAGACTGACCCCTTCCATTCTGCCCCTAATTATCCATCAGCCAACTCTCGGTGACCTCTGGGGTCACAGAACCTGTGTTATCCCATGGCTAATAGCCTCCCTCACTTCCCAGGCAACTTTTAAATAGAGCTCCTCATAGGGAGAACCTTGCATACCCTGGGTTTTCTCTGCCTTTCCCCCACCTCGGCTCAGCCTTTCAGAGGAAGGCAGACTGAGTAGAAACTGTGCACAGGTAAGAAGACCAGGAGAAGCCAAGGGCCTTGACAATCCATCTGCTGGGTAACCCGGAGTTGGCTGTGACAACAGGGAAGGCCTCTGCACCCTTTTAGTGGTTCCACCTGTTAGTTGGGGCTTCATGAAATCAGACTGGGTGAGGCAAGCAGCCCAGCGGGGGCCATGAGGAATGGGTGGAGTGTAGCTCAGCGGTGCCTCAACAGAGCTTCTGCAGATGCACATGTATTTTCACACACGCATTACACGCATAGTGTGCTCTGCAACGTCCACCCAAACCCACCACCCTTCACATGACTTTCTGCTGAGCAGAATCTCTCAGCATATCTGTTGCAGAACACATCTGGGTATGTGTGAGTGTGTGTATATTTTTTTAGTATAATTCTGAGCAGCTAAACCTAGACATCATCTTCTTGAATCAGTTCTGGATTCAACAGCTACCCCTAGGGCCCCTTCCAAACATCTCATGGCCTGTGGTTGCTACCGCCTTGCCCGTGTTAGCGAGCTGGGTGGTTAGGCAGGGCTGGGAGCTGGCTTTCTCACTCGGTACTCTCTGAGCTGGCCCTGGACCGTGTCGGAGTAGACGCGGTTCCACTGAAGGCTGATGGCTGTGCTGTTCAGGACTCGAATTTTAACGTCAGTGGGTGCAGCCCTGGGATCTGCAATGCATTGGGACAGAAAGTGGGTTATGCTGGGAGGACTGGCCCCTGGACACCAGGTTCCTCTGGATTTGTTCTCTGCTGCCCATATCTCCACCCCACTCTGGCCCTGGAGACTCGAGGGCAGGGGCTGTGTCTCCTCCATCAGACTGTACTTGGAGTGGTGTGGGAAGGCTCAGGACCAAAGGGTAGCATTTCAGGTGGTAGGGATCTGCCTACGCATTTAGAAGGCAATTATTTGCCACCCTCATGAGCCGGGTAGTCTCTGTTCACCCCTGCACTCCACTCTCCACCCTTCCCTACCCTGCTTCGTGTCCCGGGAGGCTGCCCTTTCTGGGCTCTATCAGCTGGGCTCCCGGGTTTTCAGGTTTCCGGATGGGTTTGCCCAATAGGAGGTGCCAACAGGAGATCCTGGGGCAGGAGTAGAAAGAGGGAGGATGGGTATCTATTCCCCAGGCTGCCTTTTTGCGGGGCTGAGGGTTAACAACATTGCATTCTTCTACTCAAGGCCATGGCTCCTGTGGGTGGCCCTTGCTGGCTGTATAGACTCACCTATCCCCTGCCTCTTCAAGGCTAGAGGGATACAGTGGTGTCCTGCTGTGGCTAGCCTCCAGGTGATTTACCCCACCTTGCTGTTTTCTACCCCTGTCCTCACATTATAAACAGTCCCCTTTGAGTGGCATTTTTTTCCTGTCAAGCTCTGTAGGAAACATCACCCACAGACTGAAGATGCCCTCTCCATGACTACCTGGAAAGGAGGGGCCATTTCCTCCCCATAACTGATTCTCGCACCCCTCTGTTCCACTCTGCTGCAGAAGCAGTTCTGCCCCATCCCCTCTACTCCATCAGAGCACAGGGTAGGCGGACGCCATAGGAACTGTGGGGCAGTCGTGAAGCTCATGACTGCCCATTCCATACTTACCATCCAGTAGCTCCCACCGGTCTACTGTCCGGAAGTGTTTGCCACCACACAGATGAGGAGTGGGACAGACAGAGGGCCTGCTGACCCCCTCTGCTTATCTCTCAAGTAGGTCCGATCCACAATCCCCTCCAGGAGAGTAGGGCACAGGGCCCAACCTTCACGTCTTCCCATCTGCCCCGCTATGAACACTACTGGCCCTCGTCTTGACCCGAGCATTGCCCCTGTGAGTCTGCTCCTCCCCGAGACTCTCCCCTTCCCTACTTCTTTTTGGTCACCCCATGATCTCTTCTTAGATCAGACCCAGACCCACTGGGGTTCGGATCACCCTGACCAGGAGAGGCTCCACCACCGATCCTTCTGTGCTCAGCAGCTTACTAGATGGATGTGCTGGGGAAAAAAAAGGCCACCACCACCTGGGAAGCCAGGCATGTACTTCCACATATAGGTCCAAAATCTTGTTGATTCACCCAATACAGCCTCCAAAGAACTTCTCTTTTTATGTTCAATTCCAAGGGCCAAGAGCATCACTGGGAATGCTGGCAGGTGGCTGTCTGGGTGCTTCCAATCTGGGGCTCCGCAGACCTTCTCCATTCTGAAGGCTTCCCCGGGGAAACCTGGGGAGGAGTCTGGCCTGGGGCCCTGCTTCCTGTGGAGAGGTCTAATTATGGCTCTTAGGGATGGATAGTCCTGAAGTCTTTCTCGGTGTCAGCAAGGATTGGCAATAAGGTAGATCAAAAGGCCTGGGTTCTATTTTCAAGCTTGACATTTGCTCTTGTGTAACATTGGCAAGGGATTTCCTTGCAGGGCCTCAGTTTTCACATCCATAAAATGAGAGTATTGGACCAGGTGATGATGTTCAGTAATTCTAACTAGTGTTCAGATGATAATATTTCTGTTCCTGACATTACCAGGAGCCTGTCATTATCTAGGTCACTGTAGGGTTTCTCTTCCCTGGCAACTGGCGGTTCTCCCAGGATGTTTTTGAAAGCCCCATGACCCCACCCCAAGGTTCCTGGTCTGTGAGGGTGGTCTTATGCAGCCCTGCTGGGAGGGTCCAGGGGTGGGGGGCAAGGGGAAGGTACTCACAATCTTCTCCAGAGTAACCGATGACAGTGTCTGGCTCAGGGCCCTTCCCAAAGTCATTTTCAGCCTGGACTCGGATCTCATAGGGCACATAGACAGGAGTCTGCCCCACGACATAGCGGGAGCCCCACACTGTGACATTGTTCCAGGTCTCGCGAGCCTCTCTCCGCCGCCATTTGACGATGTATCGCAGGTTGGGGCCAAAGGCGGAGGTGGCATTCATGGGCTGAGCAGGGTGAGACAGACAGCAGGGGTGGAGGGGACAGGACGGGAGCCCAGGCCCACCCACAGCTCACACTCTTTTCTACTCCGGGCACCCCTCCCCAGTCTGCCCAACACTGGTCAGACCCCTCCCCTGCTGAGTCCTCCAAGAGTCCAGAGTTCCATGAACCCAGCAGCACACAGATTTTCGGTGCCACAGGCATCACCCAAGACCTAGACACTGTGACTCCTACATTTGCAAGTGCACAGGGAGAGAAAGCTTTATTTTCAATAGCACTGTTTCCTATAGCAACCAGAAAAAAATATGGACGATAATATAATATTCTCCAAAGTTGGAAAGGCATGAGTTCTGTTTTAGCCACCGTATGCCTCCTGCCAATGAACTAAAAATCCCAGAACCGACTTCAGTTCTACCGAATCCATGCGTGTTTCCCCACTTCCAATGATCTCCAGTGAATGGACCCTGAACACACCAAAGCGAGGACTGGTGTTTATGACAAACCGCTCCCCGAGTCTAACCTCAATCCCTCCTTCTGCTAAAGAAGTCTGTTTTATTTTGCTGGTTCTGTGATTCTGCCAGACTGCCAGTCTGTGTTCCTCCATCATCTCTGCCCCTCTCTCCTTAATCTTGCTCTTAGATGCCCAATGCAGAGGAGCGGCCACCAAACCAGCCTGATAGTCTGAGCCACCCTGTGGCCTTGGGGTCCAAGGGTGTAAAGGGCAATGACCCCAGGTACACACTGCTGCCCCTCAAGGGGTGGGCTGGGAGGGACTCTTACCGTCCATGTGATCTCCATGTTGTTCTTTCTGGTCCCTTCTCCCCGCACGTCACTGGGATTGGACTCAGGGGCTAGAACCCAATTTGACACAAAGTTCAAGTCCAACTTGTGCCTTACCAGGGCACGGTGAGCAATCTCTGTCCCGCCCACCCATCCAGTCCCTTCTATGCTTTTCCTCAGCATCTCTCTACACTCAGTCCATCAACTCACTCTGCTGTTTCTCATGTGTGTGACATGCCTTCCTAGCTAAGATTTCAACACCCCCAAAAGCAGAGCTAATTTCTTTTGAATTTTAATCCCTTACCAGACAGGATTCATTATGAGGCTTTCCACACTTTAGATGGTCATACAGCCAACTCAATGTGGAGTATCCCCTTCATGAATTACCCACTAAATATGTTTAATACCAGGCTGACTTATCTCTAGAATTTAACATTTTGGGGGATGTCAACGGGCTGGTGTAATTTTAGAAATCTAAATATTACCCAGGAAAAGAAATCGGATAGAACACCAGATTACAATTTCTATTGCAAGTCTTTGCCATAGCTCTTCCCTTTAAAGCAGACCATTAAGAGTTATTAATAATATTAGTAATGATAAACATGACAGTTAACATTTATTGAGTGCTTTACTCTATGCCAGGCATCATGGTAAGAACCAGAATTGCATTTTCAAATGTAATCTTCACAATAGCCCCATGCTGGCAGGTGTTTTATTATTCTGTGTTTCACAGATGAGGACGCCAAGCCTTGGAGAGGTTAAGTAGCTTGCCCAGCTTTGTGTGGCTGGGGGCTGGGGAAACTCAGTCTGGACTCAGGGTGCCTGGTTCCAGTGCCTTCTCTGTTAGCCCTCAAGTACTCACGTGCCCCGCTGGTTCTGTAGCGCTCGGAGGGAAGGCTGGGGTGGCTGCTGCCAACCTCATTGACGGCAATCACCCGGAACTGGTAGTTGACGTAGGGGGACAGGTGGAGGACGGCCGAGTTGACACTGCCTGGGAACTTGGAATGGTCATGCCAGACCCCCGGCTGGAACTGGTCTTCTTCAAACTGGACAACGTAGTCTGAGTGGGCAAGAAAGGCAGCTGTTTTGGGAGCTGAGTTAGCAGACTTCTTCCTTACGAGCATTCGCTCATGGTTTCCACTAGTCTTCATAACCTCCTTCGGGTAGACAAAGGCATGGGGAGAATTCCCTGACAGGGAAACCCCCGCCTCCACGTGTTCTGCAAACATCCCAGGGAAGACATCAAGGGAGGCAGAAGTGGGACCAGAAGCCAGGGCGAGGCCTTGGGCCTCCAGGTTGTTACCACTCCCCTTTTCAGGACTGGAGCGCAGGGCCCCTGGCTGACCTGTGATGGGGCTGTTGTTATCGTCTCCCGGGATCCAGGTCAGCCTCACACTCCTCTCGGCCAGGTCGGTGAGCTCCAGGTCCCGCGGTCGGTCTGGCCGTCCTGGAAGCAGAGGGAGAAGACACCACGCAGGACTCCCGAGTTAGAGCCAGCTCGTCCTGGTGCTGGCCCCAGCCCTGAACACTGTCCCATGGACAGGTCCCTGATGGGCTGAGGTCACCACAACAGGTATCATCCCCAGCCTGCCCTGGAGGGTCAACATAGCACAGGGACCACCCCCTTCCCTCAGGGGTTCAAGGAAGAACAAAGAGGAGATCCCAATTCCACCATCCCCAAAAGAGTATCAAAGGATGCGGGGCGCAGAGAGAATTCGGACTGACCCACCCCATTTCTGCAGGTAGTCTTAAGAGTGTGAGCATATGGAAAATGGTTTTCACTAGATACATGTTCACAACATTTAGGAAAGCCAGTGAGAAAATGTGGGGTCTTGTTTCATTTTCTCATGATAATTAGCTTCTACTCTGTGTTTCAAGGCTCTGAGGGCCAGGAGCCCAGGAAGGTGTTTGGAGTGCTGAGTAGGGCAGACAGGTTCAGGGAATGAGAGGGACAAAGGGGACCAGGCCAGGGAGGAGATGGGGACTTGGTTGAGAAGTATCTGTGATGGACAAAAGGACAGAGGAGCCCCAGCTTCTTAACAGGGATGAGGGCAAGATCTTTTGGGGGCTCCAATCTCACTGAATTTCCTTAGTGGGTGTCAGTGCCGTCCTGGCCTGAGGAGAAAGCCATCCCACCACCACCTGGTGGGGGTAGGCATGATTTTTCCCCTTCCTGGCCCCTTGAACCAGCTATTTCCACATTTTGGCTGGTTACTGAAAGGGTCAGGAAGGTGAGTCACATGAGCTCCTGTTTGTGTGTGTGTGCAGACTGTACACAGGTGTATAGCAGCAGACATGGAGAGGCTGCAGGGAACATGGGCCTACGGATAACTCGAAGCAAGTGGGCTTTCTCGTCTGTACCACACGCACTTCTGAGGCCAGGCTGCCGGAGAGAACAGGCCATGCCCACGGGAGCAGTGAGGTGGCCAGAGGAAAGAGATGGGGGTGAAATGGCAGCCAAGGACCTCCAAGCTCAGCCTGCAAAAGGAGCAGGCAGCCCTGAGCAGGGCTGTGACGCTCAGGGAGGTGGCGTGCGCACTTGAAGGAGCTGATCTGGCAGGGAGCGGGGAGAGCTACCCACTGCCCACACAGAGCACATCCTGTCTGGCAGCGCATTCCCCTCATAGACCCACCCTCCCCGGGCCTAGTGAGGGCCTGGCGAGGGTCCCAGTTAGTATGAATTACCTTTGGGCAGGGCAGCCAAACGGTTAGTTGGAGTGGTCTGATCAGCTGCAAAGGTAAGATGGGTTATCCAGGTTAGCAGGTTATCCAGGGTTAGAGGTGCTCGAGAAGGGTGGGAACGGGCAGCTGAGGCTGGAAGAGCTGCCTCTGTGACATGCTCCTGGCACAGCTTCACCCTCCCTTCCATGAAGAGGCCCCCACCCTTTAGAGAGGCCTTCCTGTGTTTCCTCTTTCCTGCCCCAGTACTACTATCATGCCTGGCCCCTCCATCTCGCGTGACTGTGCACGCCCGCTGCAGAAGGGACAAGAGCATACCCTGAGTAATAGCAGTGAGGTGCCCAGGCTGAGGACAGAGGTGATGAGAGACGATGGGGGATTTGCCTCCCTGGACGAGAGAGGTTACTTTTCCTGGGTTTGGGATGGCTTAGTATTTGCAGTTGGCCTGGATGAGATGGGGTCATCTTGCTAAGTGTATAGCATCCTGTGAAATCCCATCAAGAAGCAGAGGGGGAGGGGAGGAAGACTAGCATAGGCGTTGGAAGGACAAACACGAAATTCAGTCTTGCTTCAGCGATGTATCGTTTTAATGGACTTAGTGGTTTAGAGTTAGCGGTAAAGTTGGTAAAAATGACAACAAGAACCCCTTTTCACCTTCCCTCTGTCATTCAGGCGAGGATCTGGGGGAGTTAATGATGCTCCTCAGGGGTTAAGTCATCCAGCACAGCTTGTTCTGACAGGAGCAGCTTCCTAACCCTTAGATCAAGGGGCAGGGGATCGCCATGCCTGACCGGCCTGTGGACCACAGGCATTGCCCTCAGAACCATCCAGGGCCCACTGCTACTCTGGCTGCAGGAAGGGGTGGGTACGGGAGGCAAGGTCAGTGCCATGGGCAGTAGCGATTACCTAGCACAGTGAGGTAGGCCTTGGCCAGGTCCTGGTCCAGCTCGGTGCTCGCGAAGCACGTGTAACTACCCTGGTCCCGCTCAGCCACGCCAAAGATGGTCAGGGAGTCATCTTCCTTCTTCATCCTGCAAAGGCACCAGAGGGGTTGGGAGGAGGGCAAGTGGGGAGACAACAGGAGAGAGATGGGGGAGTTCCAGGCACTGCCTGCTGCTTTCTCCCTGGAGGGGGCTGGTGAGTCAAAAGAGGGAGGAAAGCCTCCCAGGCTGGGCTGGGCAGCCACAGCCTCTCCTAGGGGTCACGAGGCTCCATCTCGATGCTTTGGGAAAGGTAGGGTCTTCACCATCACCTTGAGCACTTATGGTGCTTGATGGAGGGGAAAAGGAACATGGGTGTGGCTAACACGTTCACTGTCCCTAAATTCCACCCTGTTCTGTGTCTTCCTTGTGCTCTGCTCCCTTCCCAAAATAGAGCACAGTTAGCCAACCCCCCACCCCAAAGGCAGATGGGGATCCCTGCTCTTCCCATACTTCCAGCTGTGTCTTCAGCCCAGACCAGTCTCTGCACCTGGGCTCCTCTGAACCGTCATCCACAGAGGGGAGGAGGGCACCAAAAAGCAGGTAGACTGTTAGCATCAAGTGAGTACCAGAATGCCTTCGTCCACTTGCAGGGTGCACCCCTGCAGAAAACCAGATGGCCTCTAGAAGCAGCTGGTACCTATGGCCAACCTCAGAGCCCCTGAGGTGGAAGACGGTACAGCAAAGAGCCCTGTGGAGGGAGGCTTGGACCCTAACTGCACATTAGAAACACCTGTGGGGACAGGCAAACGCCATCAGTGTCTGGGCCCTCTCCCCACACCAATTAAATCTGAATCTGAGATGAGGAAGGGGGAAGGCTCGGGTCTGGTAAAAGCATCCCAAGTACAGTAAGGGCTGAAAAACCACACTAACCACCATGGTCAACCCTGCCCTCTGCTGGACAACAAGGGCGCTGCAGGCAGGGCTGAAGATGGGGAGGGGCTCCTGGCTGTGATGCAGAAGAGGATGACGGGTGAGGGTCAAAATAAAGGGAGGAGGAAAAAGAAGGAGTGAGTGGAGAGAAATGAAGAGAGAAAGGCGTGGGGAAGAGAGAAGAGGGAGAAAAAAGAGGAGAGAGAAGCAGGGAGCTGATGGCAGCAAGGGGAGAGGGCAGAGGGTGGGAGTCTCCCCTTAGCTGGCAGGGAGTCACGGAGGCCGTCCCACCCTCCTCAGCAGTTTCTCAGCGACACGCATGACACAGGTTCCCTATCCCTGGGTTCTTCAATGTGTCACTAAGACCAAGGGGAAAGCAGATGGCCCCAGGGTAGCACTGGGAAGAGGGAAGGTAGGAGCGAGCAGACCTGTTCCCGATGTAGAGAGGTTCATCGTCCTTCAGCCAGGAGACCGTGAGTTTCAGGGAGGGGTCGTGCTTCACCCGGCACTCCAACTGCACCGTGGTGCCCCTTTTGACCATCTGGTCCTCAGGCATCCGGTAGATCCTGGTGGGATCTGTGGAGACGCCCAGGGTGCTCATCATTGACACGTTCTCTGCCCCAACGTGGACACTCAGTGTGACGTGTGTGACCTCAAGGTTAGACCAAGGGAATGGTATTCCAGAAATAGTATTCAGTTGTATCTGAATGGAGGGAGACCTGGTGTGGGGGAACCCCCAAATCCTTTCTATCTGGCTCAGGAAGATACGACGCAATTTCTGGGGTGGTGGTAGGGAGCTGGTGTGGGTACTAGGTTTCCCTTCTTAATGCCATTTGGACCAGGCTGGTAATGACTCAGTGTTCCCAGCACCCAGGCCAGCTGGAAGCCCTGGAAGGACACACAGACCCATAGGGAGGGTCCCATTAGCGATTAAACATTAGATATGGTGCGCTTTCAAAGGGAGTAACACACACGGATAACTTTGAGGAGAGAGCTTCCCTTCCCCACCTCGCCCCACCCTCCACCTACCAACCCTCTCCTTTACCTTTGACCTCCAGGCGGACCTGGTTTTCAGCTTTGCCCAGGATGTTGGTGGCAACACAGGTATAGATGCCTTGGTCCTCTTTGCGGGTCATCTTGATCTCCAGGCTGCCGTTCTCATAGACGTGGTAGTTGCCACCATCCAGGTTGCTTCCTTGCCCATTCTTAAACCTCACAACAGAGCAGCAGAACACATAGCATACTGAGACAGGACTGGCCCAAGGGAGCAGGGGTCAACCACTCGAGAGACTGTACGGGCAGTGGAAGGAGACCCATCTTAGGACTCCGAAGCCCTCATCCTTGGAGGGTCTGCCTCCAACCATTGGGTGGCCCTGGCAGGTCTCTGCCCCTCTCTGGGCCTCGAGTTCTTTCTCTGCACAATAAGGGGGTTCACCCCGAGGATATGCCAACTTTCTCCCAGCTTTGACCCTTTGAAGTTCCCAGGTCTTGCTGAATATTTATGGGACTGAGAACGGTGAGACAGACGACCCCTGTTGGGGGAGGCCTGGTCTGGAACTTACCATCGAAGAGTGGGGATGGGGGATCCGAAGAAGGGACAGTCCAGCCGTGTCCGGTTGTACAGGATCACCCGAATGAGCTGGTTCCGGGGCGAGAGCATCCGAGGTGGTACATCTGCAATTCCCAGACAACCAGTCTTGGGTGGGGAATCGAACTCTTCCATTTCTTCCCCCTGGGTCTTATCTCTACATGCCGACTCTGTACAGAAGCTTTCCAAGTGCCAACGTACCTTCCCTTATCCACCTTCCTCCTTTATGAAGCCTCTAAGGGTTAGGTGAGGAAGGAGGAAGCTTTTCCATCTGCCCTCAACCTACCTGAACAACCAATCCAGCTTCTGCAAAGGGTTTTCCCCAATTATCCAGCAGGTTCTGTATTGGCCCTTCCCACCACCGTATCCCTGCTCTGGGAGTGCTGCAAACATCCTCAGAACCACTTCCCACTCTGTGACCCACTGAGAACCCAGGAGAGTCAGCGTGGATACACCCAGGTGACGGGACAGGCCCACTCCGTCTCATCAGGGGGAGGGAGGACCAAGACTGACTTCTAGTAGAGAATTCACTCTGTCTGCCCAGCCAGCTCTGTGGGTTTTAAGTCCTCTCTCATTCCCACAAACCTCATCTTCAGTCTCCATGCTTCTCCAGCCAGTTTGGCTGGAGAAGAAAGTTCGTCCATGACATGTCCCAGTCCCCAGGGAGACAGCACTGCAGGGAGTGGAGGGGACACTCACCCAGCACACTGACGAAGGCGTTGGCCAGCAGGTAGCCATGCTCATTAGAGGTGTTGCACTGGTACACGGCCCTACTGCTGATCTGGGTGTCCCGGAAGATGATGGTGTCCCCGGCCACCTCACGGTTTGGGTTGGGCGGTGCCGCTACCGACAGAAAAGGTGCTCCTCGTGAGACTCGGGGCAGCAGGTGAAGGGCACTGGGGCTCTGCCCAGGGCTCTCTAGCAGGGCTGGGTGCTGTGGGAGCAGCAGCGCTGGGTGGCTCACAGAAGACCAGGCTTCTGGTCCCACCACTGCTGGGCTGTGTGACTCTGGGCCCATCATCAAATCTACTGGAGATGATTTCTTAGTCTGTCCAATGGGAATATGAATCACTACTCAGCCTATGTAGTAATAGCAGCTGGGCAGGTGTGGCTGAGAGCATAAGCTGTGGCAACTGAGAGGGGTTTGAATTCTAACCACATTCCTGCCAGCACCAGTTTCCTTGTCTGCACAACAGGGTAACATGTCACCTTCTGGGGGGTTTTATGAGGATGACCTGAGATTTTATTCATGTAGAAAGTCGTTAGCAGAGGGCCTGGCCCCTACCGATTATTACTGTTATTATTTCAATCCAATGTTCATACTTTTAAGTGTTTTGAAAAGGACAAAGCAATATGCGACTGGATGGGGCCTGCCACCTTCCTATCCTCTGAGCAGGGCATTCCGTGGACATTCACAAACTAACCCCAAAGGTCAGTGCCTGCTGAAAACCGAATGAGTCCTTATATTTGCCAGAACTACCTGATTGTCCCCAAAAATGTATCCGATGCTGAGAGAGAACATTCGCCCCACAGGTCTCCCAGTACCGCTGCATCTCCCAGGAACTGAGACTGGGGAGTGGCTCTGGGAACAGGGGCAAACGAGTAAGTCATTCTGGGCTTTATTTCCTTCATCTGGAGAAGAATTACTCCCATCGTTCCCCTACTCTGAGGAAGGTTAAGAGAAGAGCAAGATAATGAGCTGTACTAACAAAAGTTTTCTAGAAATGTAAGGAACTGCCACTTCTCTCATCTTTCATCACCAGAAGATGACTTCCCTCTCTAAGGTCTCTGAACTGGGCCACGTGCCTTGGCTTACATGGTCCATGAACTCATCCAAGGTCACTCAGATCTACAGCGGCAGTCAGCCGAGGGGGACCCAGGGTCTGGCCCTGCGGGCGCCAGGCCCCAGATAGCAAGTCTGAGCCTGGAACTGGGAAATCAGCAGGAGGTAAATGAAGACAAGGTCAGCATGCTTATCACCCTTCTCTGAGTCCCCACTCAGCAAAAAGCCACGAGGAAGGCAATGCCAGCAACTGAAACACCTCCTTGCCTGGCAATTGTCATGGACCCAACTCTTCTCCCAGTCACTCCCCTTAAGTGATGGGCGACCCTTCCAGGAGCTCTGCATTTGCTCAAGGGTGCTGTGAAGTTCAGTGCCTTTGTTTGCCTGGTCCCCAAAGTGCTGTAATGACAGGGAGAATGACCGGCAGAGGGCAGGCTATGTCCCTCTCTCTCCTGTGTCCAGGGAAGGACAGTCACTGGGAATAACTGTGCTCAGAACTAATAGATGGTGCAGGCATGTTGCCTTCTCACAATGACCCACAGCTTCACCCCTGTGACCTTGGGCAATTCATGGCACCATCAGAGCCTCGTTTCCTCATCTTTACTGTGTGAGGTTAAAGAGAGAACAGGTATGCAGCACCTAGCACGGCGGCTGGAACACAATGACTGTCTAAAAAGGTGCCCTCTCACCCATTCCTCCGCCCTTCTCCTCTGCCTTTCCCCCTGCTGCTCTTGAGTTTGGCTCTGAGTTCTCATCATCTGTTTGGGTGATATCACCTTTTGCATCTCCTCTGACCCCATAGAGAAAGGAATGACAGGACATTTAAAAAAATAAACGCTACTGGAGAGAATGCGATGTGAAAACTTGACCGAGGCCTCTGGCTGGAAGGGCCTTGGACTCACCCACTACAGCCACCCAGGCGGGACTACATCTCCCCAAATTCTGTGCACACTGAATAACTGCACCTGTGCATCTCTGTTCTCATGGGAAGTTCTTCCTCATATCCAACCATACTGTTCATATTGTTGTATAATCCTGCCTCTCATTTTGCCCTCAGCAGAGAGCAGGACCTCGGCAGCCAATGGCACTGGGTTATTGAGCTCTCCTCTATCTGCCAAGTTCCAGATATCACTCAGAGCCCAAAATTTCAGGAGATGCAGCTACAGACCCAAGACCTTGAAAGGAGCTCTGTAGTTTTTAAAGGGAAGAGTTTTATGGGAAAACCAAGAGAGGAGAAATCCCCTAAATGTGGAAAAATAACCACAGCCTCTCGTTCTCTCACACAGACACGTGGCAGGATTCCTGCCTCTTGAGATGTCCAAGGAGATGGCTGCCCCCTCACTTCTGGAACAACCAGGGATGCCCACAGGGACGAGGACTGGGAGCCTTTGACGGGAGAGAGAGCAGAGTCAGGTGAGACGGTGGCTCGCTACTTACATTGCAAAGGTTCCCCATTCACCATCCACTGGACAGTGGGCTTGGGGTTCCCACTGGCTCGACATACGAGTCTCCCGTCCTCACCAGGGGCCAGGATAAGGTTCTTGGGTTCATCCAGCCAGTAGGGAGCAGCTGGAAGACAAGGACAGCACAGGCAGGGGAGTTAGATGGCGTGGGGCAGGCAGAAGAAACCAGACGGACTTCCTCTAAAAAGACAGGAGCCCGAGTGCCAGCCCTAGGCCCTTACCACCTGCCCAAGCCTCATTCTCATGGGATGACTCAGTCCAGGCTGCCTTTGGCCAGCTTCACACCACAGATGCTGACCTATTTCGAGTTCACAGAACAACAGCTCTCTACACGGGGGCTGCTCATTAGAGTTCCCTGAAGAGCTTTTAACAAACATGAACACCAGGGCCCGCCTTAGATCTACTGAATCGGAATTCCCAGGGGAGGCCAGGGCAGCGATTGCTTTCAGAAATCCATAGATGTCATGATGTGGACCCAGGGGCCCGAGCCAGGAGAGGTGGGAAGGTGGGCACTGGGTTTCTGTTGTTACTGCTGCAAGATCAGACCTTTTAGGAAAGGCCTTATACTTATTATCTTAGGCACTGAGCTTTGGTTAGAGCAGACGCTCTTCGCTGGCCACCCCGTCAATTGTTGGAAAATTTCATGAATATCTGATTAGGTGGATTTTTCTGAGAAGAGGGTTCTTTGGATCAGATCCTCAAAGATCTTGATTACTCCCCAAAAGATTAAGAACCCCTGGTTGGAGTATAGTGCTGAAACCAAGGTCATAAGGGCGACTGAGCATGTGCTAAGAAAGCCCGAGAAAGAGAAGCAACTGGTGTACCCCCACCTATGGTTGGGGCCCATAAAATCATGTTGTGTTCTATTACTTACAATAGGTCAGGTGGGCCAGCTATGCTTTTTGGGAAAAGAAGTGATTTAAAAAAAATAATTTGGGCCATGATGACTCCCCATTTTGAAAAAGAACCAAGCACCGTAGATAGACAGCACAGTGCCAAGAGGACACACTATGAACAGGAATGCAAAATAAAAGGGAAGGCTCTGGGTGTGATCCAAACGGACCATGAAATTCACCTGCTGAGGGCGCCCTGGGCACCAAGAACAATTGGGTGATGGTCTAGGTGGGTCTTCTTCTCTTAACACCCATCTCTCTCTCTCTCTCTCTCTCTCTCTCTCTCTCTCTCTCTCTCTCCCTGCCACACACACATCCAGGGGGTGACGGGTGACACCATCCCTGGCAGGTCACTATTGCCACTAACCAGTGTGTGGGAAATTTCCCCCACTCGCCCTGTCCCCAACTACCCTCAGAGGAAAGGGTCATCATGGCGCTGAGGGCTGGCAAAATTCATCATAATGAGAAATACACATAACGTACCCTTTACTCTCACCGAGATCGTGTGCCGGATGCTGCCCATCTTGTTGGAGGCCAGGCAGAAATACTCCCCGGAGTCTTCCTCAGAGACGTTGGTGATACGTAGAGCCTTGTTGAAGTTCTCAAACTTGGCCTTGTCAGATGGGAGGTCCCCACCTTTCTTGTACCATGCAATGTCTGGTGTTGGGCTAGAAGAGGGACCAAGCAGGAAACAAGGACTTATCACAAACTGCAGCCCTGCTCTTCTTCTGCGGAGCCCGGGATACCCAGGTGTCCTTGAAATAAACTTGGACCTGGCGGATGCATGTCCTCTGAGAGCTGATCTAGCCTATACTGAGGTGTTGCTCAGTGTCAGAGCATTTGAGGGACTTCTCTAAGATCATACGAGAGTCTAACACATGTACAGGATGCCCACCCAGCTCCTTTCCTCATTATCCAAAGAGATGGCCAGAATGGGATGGAGATGACTATGATTTGCAAAATCACTAAGGGCCATCTGCATCTTTTTTTGCACTCCCAGTGTGGCAAGAACAGCGCATGCACAAACTCCCTCCCCAGCCTCCTGAGGTGTGGTCAGAAATGGGGGTGAAATGGTACATACACCCCAGAGGCGATACACTCCAGGAGTAGGTCCGTGCCACGTAGCACCATCTGACTGCTCGCAGTGCCCTGGGGATACATGAAGCTGGGGGTTCTCTCTGCAACTCCTCGGGCTGAAACAGGACAGAACAAGCTGGCATGAGCCTCCTGCTCAGGGGCTGACCCAGCTAGGCCAAAGCTATCAGGCTAGAAAGAAATGTCATCACGCCTCTGCTTCCCTGCTGACCCTCGGAAGCACCAAACCCTGGATCCTCCCAGCAGAAACCACCCCAAGGGCTGGGCATCATTAAGAGAGAGTGTTAGAAAGCGCGGGGCTCCTCGGCCCCACCGGCACGTGTGTGAGCAGCTTTAAGTTCTGAAAGGATCTGCCGAGAGGAGCCCAGCTGCCCTCACAGTTCAGTAAACCTCTCCTTTCCTGAAGAGGGGGAGGAGGTTGCCTGAGCAGTGAGTGGTTCACTCCTCGAGCATCTTGTGTTGGGACCCCAGAGGCCAAGTCAGTGGCCCCTAGGGAGGCCACCTCAGCAGCAGTGGAAGAAAGACAAGGCTTGAACTGGGGCCACAGGACAGACAACCTGCTCTTGGGGACCCTGGAGACAAGAAGCTAGGATGAAGCCACAGAGACCCAGATGAACAGTCAGAGATGCAGGACGCGTTATTAATGGTTTAGCAAAGACATGGAGAGAATTAATGAGCAGAGATGACAGGAAATCACTCTGGGGCCAAGGCCGTTCTGCTTCTTCACTAATGACTGTGGAAGGGGGCTGGGGAAGAGGGTGTTAATTGGATGTGAGAGACTGGGGGAGGGGTGAGAGGCAAGTGACAGCCAAGGTGGAGGAGGAGCTCTACAATTCAACTAGGCTGGGGCAGCCAGGGGTCCGAAGTTAACGACACTGCACCCAGGTTTTGAAGCCAGGTGGCCCACAGAGATCAACACTGTCAGGGTGGCTGTTTTCCAGTGGCAGGGGTCATGCCAGTCTGGGCACACCACAGCAGAGCGGAGCCCACCCACCTGAGCCTCACCGCTCGCTTCCTCAAGGGCTCTTTGTATAGTTTTATGGAAATGGATATGATGGAGGGGAGAAGAACCAGGAGCCCAAAGCACAGGGAGACTGGGACGGCACCCCTGTCCAAAAGTGCATGATCGTAAACAAGAGGCGTTAACATAGAAGCTGAGACTACTCATGGGTTTCATGGATCTTCCACTCAGCTGGAGAGGCAAGACGTGTAAGGAAAGCAGAGCTGCCAGGAGCTGGGAGCCCTCAGAGATGCCCGCACTGAGAACAAAGGAATTCTTCTGGGCTGTTAATAAGAGCTGGCAGAGTGAGGACAGAGGGGCAGGGGGAACTCTGTCTCTGTGACATTGGTGTCTCCTAAAGGAGCTTGTTGGACTAGTGGGTGCCTGGTTAGAGCAGTGGGGTTCTGTCCCAGGGGTACTCAGCTTTTCTTTCCATTAGCCATTGCGGGGTGGTGGTGGCACATTTCATAGAGTTTACATCTATTTCACCCTTTTGTCAGGGGAAGAAATAATGAAACACATGCAAAGGTACTTAGGCTGCTGGCACAATACATGGCACACAGCAAGTGTTCAATAGACGTTTGTGGGATGAATGAGTTCAAGGGGAGAAGAGAACAAAAAGAAGGCAACAATTTACCCCCCACATTACTTCTCCTTCTATAGATGTCCTCATCTGTCCCACCAGCACACACATATACAAAAGTGGCTACTGAAGGGGTTAATCCATTATGTGGTTAATTGGTTACCGTCTATATCTATAACTCCTGTAGCACCCAGCTCTCAGTACCAAGGACGCTTGATACCAAAACAGCAGCTTCCTCCCACCCATGATCTTAGAATCAACCAAAACAGCCAGACAACACAAGGTCAAGGGCACCATGAGAAGGAGATTTCGCGCAGGAACCTCTGGTATCTGTTGAGAGCCGGGAGCCCTAGGATTATGTGGAAGAGGTCCCAGTTCAGTTGGCATACTCCTTCCCGCAGGGACACAATCTGCAGACCCTGTGGACATTTAATTCACACGATAGCATGCAGCACCACAAGCACACATGACCAGCAAAGCATTAAGTCTGGGAAGGACGACAAGTAAGCAGAGTCCTGCTGTGGGTGCCCTGACATGTCGTAGCTGTGACTATAAAAAGGTTACAGCAGTACTTCACGTGTAGGGTGGGGGCTAGCAACCACAGAATTATCCCAAAAGGGGAGACACGACTGGGAAACAAGCCAAAACCCAAAAACACAGAGAAGAACATCTTAGAAGTCAGAGGTAATAATTGGGGCGGCCATTTGATGAGCATTCATTATGGGCCAAGCACTGTGCTGGCAGCTCTATCTACATCATCATCATGTTTAATCTTCACAACAAACCTGGGGGGTACCACCCCCATTTTCAGTAGAGGAAACAGGCTCAGCGAAGTCAACAGATTTGCCAAGGTCTCAAGCAGCTGTGTTTCGGATTCTGGACCATTTAGAGCCAAAGCGTGTGCTCTAATATCTATATTGCCTCTCTCTTTAAGGACGGATAGACCACTTGTCCTGACTTTTGATAGTCAGCTTTGGGAATATCTTCCTCGCTCAAACCAAAGAAAACCAAAATCCAAAGGCAAAAAAAGTGAAGGAGATAGATATTTTTGTTTTAAGTGAGCTGTGGTGGTGAAACTCTTCTACTATGTTTTCCTTGAATATTGTTCTCAATGTCTCAGATAAGAGTTCATCTCTTCTTGGTAGTTATTAAATAAACTCAGGCCCAAACTGGAAAAAAAGAAGCTGGGTTGGGAACTGAGAGGCTCCAACTGGGTTCTTAAGGCCATGGAAAGCTTGAAGAGGAGTCAGGGTGACACATGATCATTTTACGGGGCAAGAAGGATGGGCCCAAAGGGGAGGTTGTGAAGAGATGTGGTCAGCTCCAGCAGGAGGGATTTACATGAAAATTTATGAAGGACAACAGAGCGGGTGGCGTTGAGAGCCACTGCTCCCAAGGCAGGGTAGCTAAGTTCTTCCCCTGGAGAAGCAGACCCAGGAAGAATCTGTGCGACAAAGGCAATTACTGCATGAGGCTCTGCGAGACTCTAAAAGGAAGATGATAGCTTCCCAGGGTGTCATAGGAAAGCCTCTCTCTTACCACGGAGGCGGGGACCCCTGAAGAGCCTGTACAGCCTGACGATGCTTCTCTTACTCTCCCTGATTCTCAGGGCTGAGGTCGGACCCAACACCTGATCAAACTCAGAACCCAGATGCCAAAGCTCACGTTCATGTGGATTCAGGAAGAGTTTCCCCCTTGGCCCCATCTGACCTTTAGGCCAAGGACAATCTTTCCTCTCCTGCTCTCACAGCTGTGGCTCAAGAGTAGGCTCAGGAGTTTCCTGAGGAATCTGGTCAGCATGGGGACATCAGGCGATGACACCGCCTCAACCACTTTGGCTTTAAAGGGCCAGTGAAAAATGCCTCAATTGTCTCCTACATGAGGAAAGGTCAAGACTGCTGAAAACCTGAATTGCTCACCTCTGTCAAGTGCTGTGTGTTAACAGAAGACGGTTCAATGAGTCAGATGTATCCAAGAACCTTTGTGAAAAACAGCTTTTAGGGGCAGCTGGATCCTCTATTTGCTGCATTTAGTGCTCAGAATTGTGAACTCATGGGCTGGATTCCTGGCATCACATCCACCTCTCTGGCTCTAGGAATGGCTGACCAACCACCCCAGAAGATAAGACAAGAACTTTGTCTAGAAACACTTGATATCGTCTACTGCCAGGAAATCTCTTCCGTCTAACCCAAATCTCTCATGTAGTAGTTGGAGCTTTTTTCTTATCCAGTTCTCTGCACAGCTGAGATCTGAACAGCTTCCGTTTCTCTAGTCTGCCCTAAAATGTCTCTCTCCATAGTACTTTCTTCCCATAATTGTGCTTACCTTTCTCCCCTTGGCTTCTTTTCAAGTACTCTGAGCCTCTCCTCATTTCAGAAGCAGAGAACAATTATTCTTGATACAGCCAACATGAAGCCATTCCCTTTAATACCATAACGGGTAATTTATCAATCACTGATGTGTGTGACACCATACTGGAACCATGTGCACATTATCCTATTTAATCTTCACAACAATCCTATGGGGCAGGTAATATACCCATTTTGCAGATGAGGAGATTGAAGTTTGACATGCTAAAAGACTTACCCAAAGTTACTCAGTGGTATGTCCTGTAGCCTGAGTTTAATTCAAGGCAGCCTACTTCAGAATGCACACTCTTATCTTCCTTGTTTCCTGGCCTGGGTGAATTCTAAGTGGCAAGTCAGGGGGCATCTGGCATATGTGCAGAGGATACAAACCACTGTAGGAATCACTAGAACAAAGTGTCATTATAGGGTGGCCCTACTGCTCTAAAAAAGACGTCATATTTCAAAACAAAGCATAGAGATGCACTGTGTCTCTGTCTAGCTCTCTGCACTCAGGAAGGGCCTTATCTTCTTTCCTTCCTTTTCATGTTCTATTTCTTTCTAGAAGCATTCAACCTAGCTATCCTTTGTGCAACATGTGCCTCACTTTGACTTTATATTCTCGCCAGTTGGCTTTATACGTGGTCAGTCCCGTTCTACCTTGGATTGAAGAGATGGGGGTCAATCTCATGTGAGCACTTGTGAGCTTTGCTTGGTTTCATAGCCCTGGATGGTTCTTATAATATAATATCTACCGCCGGTCACAAACTGGCTGGAATCACTCAAACTTGTTCCATTGATAAAACAACTCTATATGCATTTCCCCTGAGTGGATTACCTTATAGGTATAAAGAGGAGCTGGAATGGGATGGGATGGTCTTTAAGGGACTTTCTGGCTCTGATATACTCCAGCTTTACAAATATTCCCTAATAGATTAGCTGGAATCCAATTTAGCAAAAGGCACATTCCATACCAGTGCTCTGGGGCTCTTGACACAATGGTGGTTGGCCCCATTATTTTGAAAACAAACAATGCCCAGAATCCAACAAAGGTCCTCTGCTTCCTCAGGCAGTAAATCTCTTTGGCAGGATCTCAGTGTGGCTCTAGCTGTTTGGTGCCAAGTTAGAGCCTTTGCCTCTCTCCCTGGCTTTCATTCCCTCTTCCCAGCC